TTGCTAAAAGCAGTGTAACTGATTTTGTCTTTCTATGGAAGAAGATGCAGCTGCTGGCTGAGATCTGACCAACCAGAATGCATGAAATCAAACATGACTATCTTTGGCTAGTTTGCTATTTGAAAGGAAGGGAAATTAACTAGCAACTTTCCCCCCTCGATATCTAGGTTGAAATCCCCCCCCCCATACCTTCCCCTAGAAAAGGATTCAACATTTTAATCCTCATTGAGACTTTGCTATTTTACTTCAACCCAGAGTGAAGATATCTTTACACATGAAAGGGGAATTAATAATAAGGATGCACAGGGATGATCCCCTAAGTTAAAAATAAAAATATCCTCCTCTTTCAAATGGCTCCTCACTCTTTAAACAGCTTATTGATTACATTCCTAACAGAATACAGAATACTTGAATGGCCAAGTATAAAATATATACAAGGAATTTGTCTTCGGTGACAGACGGCAAGATCAACAGGGCGTTTGGATAGCAACAGAAAAATAATAAACAATAACACTACACAGTAAAATGATTTTTTCAAAGGGAGAAGCCACTGTCCAGCACATATCGAGTCATGTAGCGTTTAACAGAGCAATGGCACAAGGGAAAAAACTATTCCGATATCCAGATGTTTTAACATATGGTGCTCTGTAGTGCCGTCCTGAAGGAAGAAGTTGGAACAGTTTATATCCTAGTTTATAACAGCTATAAAACATAAGGGAGACAAGTAGAGATCAAGAGTGTCATAAAACGTATAGCCCTATTGGATCCAAAAACAATATTGCTGGAAAAATAGACGTATTTGCAATGTTTCAGGAACCAATAGCCATGTTCAGTGTATTACAGTAAAGCATTACGTTTATTTTTATTTTCTTAACATGCAAACTTTGTTTTTCTTCCCTACTGAAATGTCAAAAGAAGTTGAAAAGGTGCAATGGTACTTACTCAAGGGCAGTGAGCCTTGAGCAGGTCCCAATCCTTAAGACGAGGCCACTTCTACCCAACTCCTGGATTTTCACTGCCCCCACCCCACACAGCCCCAAGGCTGAGTTCCCTTCTCCTACAGTAGGTTAGTACTCAACATCCCATCCAGATGGTTAATGCGATGAGGGCGAGAGGGCACTCTGGCCCTGCCCTTGTTCCTTATGATCAGCCACTGGGCAGAGGGAAGTGGCAATATCCCTTTATGGTGCACCTCTAGAAGATTAGGGTTGGTGGGAATTAGGTCCCGTGGTGCTTCTACATCCCAGGAGATGTGATAAGACAGGATTTCCTGCCCACGGGACCATGCGTTCCCAGCTTCAACAGAAAGGCTGCCAAATTATCTTCACGACATTTCCTCTGAACAGAAACTGTGCCAATAGTTGACGGGTGTCACAGAAGCTCCCAACTTTATGGACACGGGAGGCAATATTGATCCCAGATTAGTTTGGGCCTTGCCTGTGGAAAGGGTTTAAGTCACTCCTGAAAGCTGAAGAACCCTTCCATGGAGCTGGGCATATCTCCGAGTGTAAACGTTTTGGTTTCAGATGCTTCACCGTAGTGTCCCGTTCAGCTTCATCACTAGGCAGAGCATGGATTTATTCTCTTCGTTGTCTTGTTCCTTTGCAGTTGGCACCCGGGATCAATCCTGGACAAGGCCTGGGCATCGAAATCATTGCCACTTTGCAGCTCGTGCTGTGTGTGCTGGCCACAACGGACAAGAGGAGAACGGACGTCTCGGGATCTGCACCGTTGGCCATCGGTCTTTCGGTGGCCTTGGGTCATCTGCTGGCGGTGAGTATGAATTCAATGTCTGTATTGGCACATTTGCTAAACCATAATTAACCTGACTTAACCCATTTGCCTGTGTTTGCCCTTTCAGTTAGGTCAGGTCAGAAAACAGATGCCACAAGGATTATTGGAACTCTATTGTTATAGGGCATGTCAACAGCATCTTGAAAGCCTGCCAGAGTTTCTCTCTCTCCCCCTCTCCCCCTGCCTCCTTTATACTAAAGAGAATCAAGGTGGGGCAATCTTGAGTATTTTTCCCACACTTTCCTGTTTTCCTGGGCTACGCTGACGTTTACATAACCACGCTTGCATTCCTTCTTCAAGGTTATCTATATACTCTCTCTAGACCCAGTAAACAACCCACTGGCTGCATTCAGACAATACATGTAATCTGGTTACTGGATTGACCCATTTTCTGGGTTAACGCAGTACATTGAATCATAAACTAACCAACCATGCTGGGTTTATTTCACACATTAGGCCCATCAAATCTGACCAAAGTCAACACTAAGTTTAACATGTTGTGTGAAGGTAGTTTCTAGGCTTTCATGGACCTAGTTGTGTGTATTGTGTGAACCTGGCCACTGGGCCATGTACAAGCAAATGCAGGTAGTATATAGACAGCAAGGAAGATGACCTTGATGGAGATAGGCCAGGTCTGTTACCAAAGTGACAACAGGAAAAACATCTTAAATCCAAAACAAGCAGAAAGAATGTGGAAGAGACTCAGACAGACACCACCCTAATTCAAATGAGTATAAGAAGGGGAGGAGATACAGCACAATCAGACTTGCAAGATTCTGTTATTGTATCCATCCTCAATCAAAGTAGTCTTAGTCTTCCTGTGGAGTTGATTCCTGGTCTGAACTACTTGATGGGCTGACCCAGTCTTTGAAAGTGTTCCATGCAGTCCCCAGACACCTTTCAAGACTGCTACCAAATGATCCTTCTAGATGGGACAGAAAGGAAAACTCAATGTTGAGAGCTGCTCATATTCTATTCTAATTAAATGCAAACTTAGTAGGCTGTGCAAATCAGACTGTGCAAAGCAGTCAGTGTACCACAGGGGCTTCCATAGGGGGCAGGGGAATCTCAGAAAAGTCAAGGTGGCAGTTGCAGTGACATAACAGAACCTGCCAACTTGACCTTCTTGATGTCCTCCATCTTCTACTAGACTGGTTGGAGAATAATCTAGATAATGTTGAAGGCATATTTTTATATTATTTAAGATACCCAACTGTAACAAATGTGGAGGCAGGTGTAGCTCTGGAGAAGGGACCGTTCTAGAAGAGAGCCCAACCTGTCCTGAGAACTTCCTACCTTTTGATGAAGTCTTCCAATTGCTTTAGAGGCATGTTCTAGTAGATGGTGTCAAGGTGCTAGAGAAAGAGCTCTGTCTTGTGATCTTTAAGCCTGAGGCCTTCAGGGATGAATGGATGGTTGTTCCCACAACAGTGTTAACAAACCTTCAACTGCCAAGCCACCTTTGTTTCTGGAATAGAGAACAGACACCATCCAATTTCTTTTTTCTTTTTTTAATCCAGGTAGCAAAATATTTTGGGTTAGTCCTATTCATCTTAGTTGTCGGCCATGTTCTGCCTCTGCTGTAGATATCTGCAAAACATTCTATTCTGGGAAGAGACTATTCCAGGGAACTCCAGGACTTTCCATCCTTCCTCCACACCACAATTGAGGCTTTTGGACAATGCCAAGTTGGCGGTTCCAAACCACTTCCTGTTCCAGAAGATTTGCTTTTAAAAAATTGCCAGACCACCCCAAAACAGCTGGATTGGCATGGTCCAGAGAAAGAATAGATTGGAACGGAATGTTTTCCACCTACTTTCTATATTATGTCCTTTCAAGGACTGGATCCACACGCGGGGTGGATTCACACAACAAGTGAGCTATCTATGCGTAACATTTTCCAGGCTGAAGGCAGTATTTGGGGCTTCAGTGGCACAGTGGAGCCCATGCTCCAAAATTTGGTGAATAGGGCAAGAAGAAAGGTTAATTGTGATTTCATTTCAGATACATTTCAGGGTGTCCATGAAAGGGAAAAATGTTTGGAATCAATGGAACAAACACACGGTGATTCAACTCATACAACCAAACTCTTCCAGGCAGGTCATGGTCCTGCTGAGCCTGAACCATCTTGGTTGACCTGAGTTTTGGCTCAGATAACCCATGGGTCTGGTGACTGGAAGGCTGTGTGGCTCACCCTTCTGTCTTCTCATTCTCACAGCTATTAGCCCCTTCCCCAACCTTCTGCTCCCTTTTATCTCTTCCTTTCCCTTAATGATGTGCTGTAGCTGTTATGCATGGTTGAATTCAAGCACAGCAGACTTTACTGGTTGAAGGACCCTGCCCTGATCTTCCTTTTCCTCACCTACCCTTGCTCGTGCACCCACAATTGTCATTGCGACCAGGCCAACCCCATCAGCTCATCCCTCTGTTCCCCACCCCTTTCTTTCCCTTCCCTCCCTTTAGCTCCCACTACTCTGTCCTCTGTCCTCTTCTCCTTCTCTTGTCCCACCCTGGAATGGCTCCACCTTGGACACGCCAATAGAACATGCGTGTTTTGCCATTCCAGGCATAGAGCACCCAGTCCCAATTGTTCTGTACATAAAATATTCTGTGAGGCACATAAGCAAGGTTTTTTTGGACCACAAAGAAAACAAATCAGCCGCTACTCACTTTATTCCTGATGCATTTCGCATACTAAATCTGAATTAAGGCAGTCAAGATGCACAATCAATCAATCAATGGTTCTCATAGCTATTAGCCCCTTCCCCAACCTTCTGCTCCCTTTTATCTCCTCCTTTCCCTAAATGATGTGCTGTAGCCATCATGCATGGTTGAATTCAAGCACAACCTACTTAACTGGTTGAAGGACCCTGCCCTGATCTTCCTTTTCCTCACCTCCCCTTGGTCGTGCACTCACAATTGTCATTGCTCTTCAAGGGCAGCCCCATGTAGAGTGTGTTATGGTAATCCATACTGGAGGTGACCAGGGCTAGAGGTGACCAGGGTGACTGTGAGTGGAGCCTCACGGTCCAACTGGAACACAACAAGAAGCTGTGCAAAGGTCCTCCTTGCCACAACTGCCATCTGGTCCTTGAGCAGGAGTTGTGAGTCTAGACCAGTGTTTCTCAACCTCGGCCACTTTAAGATGTGTGGACTTCAACTCCCAGAATTCCCCAGAATTCCCCCCAAACATGCTGGCTGGGGAATTCTGGGAGTTGAAGTCCACACATCTTAAAGTGGCCGAGGTTGAGAAACACTGGTATAGAAGGACCCCCAGATTGTGCACCGGTTCTGTTTTTAACGATTTTATGACTGTGTTTTGATTGCTGTAAACTGTCAGGACTCCTTCTCTGATTACAGTGGCATAGAATGGAGATTAAATCAACAGATTGATCAGTAAAAGTCCCATCATCCACAACACTGCCTGGGCCAGGCATGGGGACAGCAGGAGTAGAGGAGCTGGGCCAATCAAGGAGAGGAAAAGTCATGAAGAGACTCTGGTCTCAGGAGTCAACTGATAACATTAATTAATTAAGTAATCAATGAACTAATTTTGCACCATGTGTATGCCACTTCAATCACAGCCTCTAAACAGCTTACAATTAGTAGAATGAAGTAGCCACAAGTAAATTAAAATTAAGGTCCGTGTGGTCTAGTGGGGAAGGTGCGGGACTAGGAGTGGGGAGATCTGGGTTCTAGTTCTGCCTGTGACCCAGAGGCTCCCTTGGGGACTTTGGGTCAGTCTCTCTCTCTCTGCCCAGCCTACCTTGCAAGATTGTTGTTAGATGTGAATTAGGGAGGCCCAGATTCTACCCCCGCCCACACTTAGCCCTGGAAACCCCCTGGGGAATTCTGGGCCAGTCCCTCCCTCTTAGCCTGAGAACCAAAATGGGGTGATAGGAAAAGAACTGGACTAGGAGTGGGCAGACCTGGGTTTCAGTCCCCCACTCAGGCCAGCCTACCTCACAGGGATGTCGTTGCAGAGCAAAACAGGAGGAATGCAAATGTAATAGAGTTGTGCAAAACCCTCGGTGCTCCAGATCGAAAGGCAGGAGAAAACCCTAACACACCCATACAAAAATAAAGCCAACCGTCCCAGCACCCCCAGATCACTCACCCACATCCCAAAAAGCTCTCTAAAGGCAGAGGAAGGTAGAAATAAAGGAATAGAAAAATAGAAAACAAGACAGAGAGGTCTGAGGTTGGCTGACGTGCCCAGCAAGTGTGCGCTGAGTTCCTGTGATCTTTCAAAACTGGAAACAGCCCTTGTGCCCCCCTCCCCAGCCCTCCTGTGTACAACTGGATGTCCCTTCATAATCTCTTGGCGAAATTACTGCTTTTTGCCTCCGAGCATGGCTCCTGCTAATCAGACCTTCTTCTTTCTGCCTCTCACAGATCGATTACACAGGCTGCGGCATCAACCCGGCACGGTCCTTTGGATCCGCTCTGGTCACCACTAACTTTGCTGACCACTGGGTAAGTTTTGGATCTGAATCCGGGCCCTGACACGGGCCTTTGGGGATACTGGGTGGGGGGCTAGACTGAGAGTCCTGCGGCTGGACCGAGCAGTTTAATCAAAAATATATTGAAGCTGCTGCGTCTGACCTCCTGCGCAGGATGCCAGGAGAAGGAGACCGAAAGCAAACTGTGCACTAAGGAAAATCCAAATAGAGACATTTTAGAAGCAGAAGGAATCATCAGAGAGGGTTCCTTGCAATGTCTGGGGTGATGGTTTTCATCAATGTCATCTCTCTCTCTATCTCTCTCTCTCTCATCTCTCATCTATCTATCTATCTATCTATCTATCTATCTATCTATCATCTCTCTCTATCTATCTATCATCTCTCTCTCTCTCTCAGAGATAGATGATAGATAGATAGATAGATAGATAGATAGATAGATAGATAGATAGATAGATAGA